AAAAAAAAAAAAAAAATGGAGCTCAAGTTTCCTGTGGGGAGTTGGTGGAGAGAAAAGCCAAAGAGAGGAATTAGAACCTGAGTAAAGTTGGGCTGATTGCAGTTTGGTGAAGAACAAGAACCCAAGGGTAAAAATAAAAGGTGCTTTATAAGGAGGCTCTTTTGGTTGGATTAATTAGGCTTGAACTCACCCTGCATCTTGGTGGCAACAAAGGTGTAAAGAAAAAACCACAGGACCCAAATGGTTTCACTTAGGCTGATCCCTGGTTATGGGCAGGACTTGAGTCAATTTAGAGCTAAATTTTCTCTTCAGTTTCCTCCTTTACTATTCCTTATTTTCATCTTTTCTCTCTTAAGAAAAATAGTAAAGGTGGTCCACATGGAGTAAAGATCTTGCTCATTTTTTCCCTTTTTATATTCTCTGTGAAAAGGTGACGTACTTTTCACCAGGTTATGGGTTGCTGGTTATAGAAGAGCTGCTTGTTATTATTATTATTTTTTTTTAGGTTTTATTTATTTAAGTAATCTTGGGGTACCTGGGTGGCTTAGTCGGACGAGTATGTCCGACTCTTGATTCCGGCTCAAGTCATGATCCCAGGTCTTGAAATTGAGCCCTGAGTTGGGCTCCATGCTGAGTGTGGAGCTTGCTTAAGATTCTCTTTCTCTCTGTCTCTCTCTCTTCCTATGCCCCCTTCCCTGGCTTGTGCTCTTTCTCTCTCAGTCTCTCCATCCAGCATGAGGCTGGAACTCATGACCCAAGATCAAGAGCCGCATGTTCTCCTGACTGAGCCAGCCAGGTGCCGCTACAAGAGCTACTTATTAGCAGTGGGCTGGTTGTAATTGCTTTTCAGAAATCTTTCTATCTTTAAAGGAGTTGTTTTTCACAAATTGTAACAGTTCTTAGTAATTGGAGTCTGTCAGATCTTCAAAAACAGTGTTGGGAAAGGGCCAAGGGATATTTATTACTGATCCACCGGTGAGAAGTTTTTGATTTTCCGTCAGTCTTGAGCAAGGCCAGAGATAGACAGGGTCTTCCCTACTGCCTTGCTGCCAGCATAGCAGTTTTCTCCTGTTGTGCCAAGCCCATTCCCAGTGGAGTACAGACCTTTCTTCCTAATCGTGGCTCCTCATGTGGAGTCTGCACATGTATCCTGCAGCCCTGATGAAAACCTTCAAGCTGTCACAAATAGAGCAGGCTCCTTGGGCAGATGGAAAGGAAGAGAAAATAAGAAAACAGATTCCTCTCAGCATTCGCCTCAAGTCCCTGTGCCTTAATTTTTATTGTTTGTAATTTGCTGAGAGATTTTTGACCAGTTAGAGACACACTGTGGAATTATATCTAAGTAAAGTCTCCTGGCTTAAGTAGAGTTTGACATTAAGATTCTAGGCTCATCTCATTAGCTCTTCAACTGGTCCTTGAAAGTAGTAGTTCTTGAGGTCCAAGGATTTATAGCAAGTGTGATAGATTATAAACTGAGTTTCCTAAATATAGCTCTCATTCCTTACTTTTTCTCCTTATTTCTATTTTTTAAGGATCAGTATGCCAATGCATTTTTGCATGACGACAATATGAACTTTCGAGTAAACTTACATAGAATGGTAGGTGTGATTTTGTTTCTTGTTTTTCTTAGAGGAAATTTTTGGTGTGTTGGCAGGATTTGGGAGGATGAAATTGATCCTACTTAGAACAAATGTGGGTGGAATGTTGTACTAAAGAACTTTTGCTTAACTGCTGTTCAACAGGCCCATGCCTGTTGTTGGAATTTTTTTTTTTTTTTTGCATGTCATGGAGCTCTTTCTTACTCAAGAGAGGATGAAAAGATCCACAACCATATTCTCATGGCAGTAATATTAGAATGTATCAGTAGAAGTATCAGAAATCAGTAGATTTCCACAAGGAGATGGGTCTAAGCCTTTCATTTGCAAAATGCCCTTTGACCTTTGAAAGTTAAGACCACATGCTGCTTTATTTATCTGAGAGGTGGGGGAAATTGAATTTGGAAGATCAGGGAATTTCTTAGAACTTGGAGATATGTTTAAAAATATCATGTTGAGGTTTACATTTCAAACTTAACTTTTGTTTTTTGCAACTGCTACTGTTGCTGCCTCTACACAGTTACCTGCTCCTTTTCTTTTTCTTAATTATTTTATCAAAGAAAAGATACCAGTATGTCTCTTTTGTTCTTAGTAATGTCCCTTGTATAGATAAAATCAAGGTAAAAACAACAGCTTTCCCATTGTAGTATGCTCCAGTGTCCATTGGGGCTGTTGTCTTGCTGTGAATTGTGTTTTTGTCACAGGCCTGCATTGATAACTGAGAAGCATTTATAAGTCCTCCCTGCCCCACCCCACCCCCATCACTAGAAAAAGAAAGAAAAGGTAGCATGTCAGCAGAGTGATTTTATTTGCATGAAGAACATGATGATGAGCCATTGGATGTCAGTTCATGTGTCCGCTAATTTCATTTCTTTTTTGTGTGCAGCCGATGAGACACAGGAAGAAGGCAGCAGACAAGAACCTTCCCTGCCGTCCCTTAGTATGTGCAGTACTGGGTGAGTCTTATCAAAATTGGCATTTTCCTGAGCCAGTGACGGATTTTCATGATTAAGAGGAGGGATAGATCCTGGTTGATGTGCTTCTCCCTCAAAGAAGTTACTAGTTACGTTTCTTCTCTGGTGTAAGAAACCATGTTTATTGTTCAGTTTGGTAAAACAACTCCGGTGACTAGATTGCTCAATTAAAGCGTTCTCTTGTTCAAAGAGAAAGATCTTTCCAGGGAGATAAATGGGTAAGTCTAAGCCTGGTACATGATTTAAATTTGTAAAATGTTTTATTCCTGATCAAGATTTCAAATTCTTCACTCTCTTCTTGGTTCATATTGATGTGTCAGCTGGCCAGGAGGCTTGAGGTTCAAGGTTCAGCTATACAAAAATTTCCTTTGAGTAAATTAAGCTGAGATGAGGCTGACAGAGCTGACAGTAGGGGGTTGTAATTTAGGGAATTTTGTCTGCCCAGAATTCTGCATTTTCCTCAGGGGAATAATATGAACTCTTAATCCCATTTCACTTGGATTTTCAGCCCTAGTTCCTAAATCTACCTGATTTTAGAAACAGTAATGAAGACTATATAATAAGCCCCCATTGACCCAAAGCCCCACAGACCATTTCAGTCAATATCTGTCAAACTGAGCGTGATTGTGAGATGAGATAGACTGACATCTCTTTAAAGTGGAGTCTCGAGTTGTACAAATGCGATCCATAATTTCTTCTCTACTTGCCTCATTGCTCGGTTCTCAGAATATGATTTCCCTGTGGCATTTTGCTTCAGTGCCATGGTACAAAATATCTGTGCAGTGAAATCTCTTGTGTACGTGAATTTATTGGCAGGTCAAGGTATCCTTCTGGAAGTAGGAGAGTGAGCTAATTGTTACTTTACAAGTGGCAGGTAGTGCAAGTGTTGTGAAAAGTGCCTTATATAAAATAAATTTCAGTGTATGTGAATAAAGACGTGGTTAGCGGTTGCCATTCAGCATGAGAGCAAGGTATACTCAGGTTTTTTTTCCCAACTCAAAGGCATGGAATGCATTTCATTCTGATTCATCTAATTGTTATCCTTTTCCCATTCAGACCTGATGGTAGAGTTTATTGTAACACACATGATGAAGGAGTTTCCTATGGATCTGTATGTGTAAGTATCACGGTTTGCTTAATGTGTACAAATCTATTTTATAGAATTGAGTGATAGGAAATTTGTAGTCACATTTCTATATACTTTGCTTCAGGAAAAACACACTTGTGTATGAGTGTCAGGGAGCATTTTATGGCCTGGATTTATACATCTTTCCAGAAGGGAGAAACTGTACAAACCACAGTTTGGATTCTGCACATATCTTCATTATCCCTTTAGGCACACTGCATGGAGAACAAGGTTGGTGCACTGAAGTAGTGATCATGGGTGGCTGCTGTAATCCAAAGATACAGAATACCAGCAGGCCACTTAGTCATCCCTAGGCATTGGCATGAAAGTAGTCAGAAGTAGTTAGGATGTAGGAAAAGGCCAGAGAGATAGAGCTTCTTAGCCTACATTGTCCTCAGCAGCCTAGTCAGAACCATGTTAGCTAGGTAAATTACGTATGTAGTGTCCTGGTTGGGAGATTCCTGCCTCCTGAGATCAGATTGTTTATCCCATTTCTTTAAACCAGCACAACTAGAGGCAACTGAAAATCATCCTATTTTAATAAAGTTTAAGCCTTTAGGCTTTCTCTCTCATTTGATGTTTCTTCATTCTTCTTTAGTGCCCAAGAACAGCTGTGCTACATTAGTGTGATCCCAAATATGTATATTATCTTTTTTCCTTAAAAAGTATCTAAATTGAGGGGTGCCTGGGTGGCTCAGTTGGTTAAGTGACTGACTTCGGCTCAGGTCATAATCTCACGGTTCGTGAGTTCGAGCCCTGCGTTGGGCTCTGTGCTGACAGCTCAGAGCCTGAAGCCTGCTTCAGATTCTGTGTTTCCCTCTTCTCTCTGCCCCTCTCTTGCTCGTGCTTTTTCTCTTTTAAAAAGTAAATAAACATTAAAAAAAAAAATCTAAATTGAGTCTGACAACAGAATCAGTACTTCCATTTTTTTCAGGAGGAGAGTTGTTTCGTGAACAGCAAGGTCAGTGTACCTCACTCCAGTGCCAGGCCTGGGATCTAGGAGGTATAAAGGATTTTACTCTGAATAGAGTAGTCCTCCAGCTCTTTAGACCGTAGGTCATGTCATGTAGTCTTGGCTTCTTAGGTCTAAATTAATGCTACAAATTTCACGTTTAGGTTAAGTAGGTTGCAGTTTGCATTTTTCTATTTGCATTTTCTTTTGAAAATGAGGAAAGAAAGTGAGCCTGATTCTTTATTTTAATTGAAAGACCATGGAAGCTGCTTTTTTTTTTTTTTTTAATGCTGATTAGATTAGTTTTTGGCTCATTTTAGGTGTATCTCTGAACCTTGGTACCTTAGGGGTCAGATTTATTATACTACAACTTTATTTGTTACTTGATTATCTTATGTTCTAGTTTTAGGATATGCTATTTACTTCGTAGTTTATTATTATAGTTGTTGTTTTCTCATTTTCCAGGTAAGGAAACTTAGACTCCAGAGATGGAGTGCTTTGCTCAGGGTTATTCTGTTAGTAAGCACCACTGCCTTTTCCTGAAGCCAGCTTTTCTTACTGTAAATTCTAGGCTATTGCTATCCCTTCTCTGGTGTATTAGTTACCCATTGCTGTGTACAAATGACCCCAAACCTAGTGGTTTAAAACAAATATTTGTTATCTCAGTATCTGTGGCTCAGGAATCCAGGAGCAGCTTAGCTGGGTAGTTTTGGCATAAGGTTTCTTACAAGGCTGCAAAGTGTTAGCTGGGCCTGCAGACATCCAAGACTCTAATGGGGCTTGAGAATTTGCTTCCAAGCTCACTTACATGGTTGGTGGCAAACCTCAGTTCCTTGCCATGTGGCCCTCACAATAGGGTTGCTTGCCATGGCAGTTGGCCTCCCCCAACGCTAGTAATCCAAGAGAGAAGAGTCTAGGATGGAAGCCGTAGTGTCTTTTATAACCTGATCTCAAATGACCCACCATTTCTATTGGGCACATAGACCAACCCTTTTACAGTGTGGGGGGACTACACAAGGATATGAATATGCCAGGAGGTGGGGACCACTGGGGCCATCTTGCAGGCCGACTACCATAGTCACACACCCAGTAAGTTGCATCACCAGGATTCAGACTCCAGTCTCTCCGACCCCAGAGACTGTACTCTTAACTACTACTGCGATAAGTGACAAAGGAAAGATTTGTACAGGGTGACTAATGCTGACTGGGGCATGAGAGAAGATAACAGAGAAGGTTGCATTTGACCTGAGTCATGAAGAAACAGTGGGAGTTTTCTATGTGGAGGAGTCAGGGAGGGACACACCAAGCAGGGTACCAGCATGTTCAGAGGCTTGAAAGTGTGGCATGTTTGGAGAGTAGAAAGTAATTCAGGATGATTAGAGTGTAGAGTGCATGGAAGAAGCATAGGAGAGTAGAAAGATGGCTGCCTAAGTGGCTGATGGTGGACAGTTGAAAGTGGGATGACATAAGATTGGGTGTTCAGTATGTAGAATTACAGGTATGTAGCTGTCTACCCAAATCCTCACATCCCAGCCAATGACCCTGGTCTACATAAAT